TGAATGAGTCTGAGAAGCTACTTTATCCTGCTATGACGAAAGCATTCACGCGGTTATAGCAGATAGCATATGCATGAAGAGCATGTAGGTTCCATGCAACCACAAAACGAGCCAGGTGAGTTTTCCTCGGAGTCAAATGAAAGAGTGATGTTAACGAATTCGTGCGCCTATACTGTAATAGGCGACGAAGACGAAATGAAGTTAAACAGCCGATTATGCGACCTCAATTGAAGATGGTGACTGTAATCCGCTCGAAATCAATGTTTAACCTATTAGTATAGAGATAGCACCCCAGTGATGACACAGATCCGGGTCTCAGATTTACTGAGACATTGTCGAATCACAATCGAACTGGGTTATCGGCATTGGGAATCGCGTTACATTACCATAGCAAAACAACTAGTGAAGGCATTGTAACCTCGTCATTCACTTAATTTGGATAGATGGGACTCGACCAGGTACCATGATACTGTTTTTACCTTGAAATTGTTGAATTATGGGCTTCGTTCAACTTCAGAGGCAACTCGATCACACACAAACCATTTCCTACACCGGCTATGATAACGGGTCTATGAGCAATTAATGAGTCATTGTGAACAAATTTCATACCATGAGAACTATTACAAGACTGAGTGAAGGTTGAAAGACAAAGATGAAGTCTTTGGCTTTTTCGATCCGTTCGTGGAATGAACCAGCCGTCCGATTTCTATTCGAAACTATAATAGCGTTTAGGATGCGATTGTGTCCTGTAAAAAGACTTGTGGTGGCCAGTGGACCCCTGAGGTATAAAAGGTTTGGTTTGCCTAGACGATCATCGGGTAATGATGGTGATAGTGATGGTGCGCTGACTGCCACTGTAAGGGAAAAGTCTACCGAAGAATCCCCAATGGTCAATCAGGGATTCTCGAGAAGCTTCCGCAGAAGTACTACTATGAAAGGACACTACTCAATTGCATGCGCATAGCATATCTAGAGATTTCGTGATATTGCATTCGGTGACCATATCGTTGTTCATCTTGAACTTTTTGTCCCAGGCTGTGAAGAAGAATGCGCAAAGAGCCAATTAGGAACGGTTCCAAGGTCAAATGTTTTGCGCAAATTTAATAGGTTTCAGTAGCGTGGTGATTTTGAATTAGTAAAGCAGTACTATTTGAACATGGGTAGAAAATTCAGTTTGGTGAAATAGGAAATGGTAGCCGGGTATGTTATGCGTACACGCGTGAGAAGTGTCCTTACATAAAAATCCCATAGAAGCCTCAAGCAAATCACGAGAGAAATCGGAGCTATTGCGAAGTCTTCAGCAGATGCTTTCCACACAACTTAGCACCTCAACTCAAACAACCATATTCGAGTAATCATTTTGGAACACATGTCCTTAACATTTATGTGAATACTATTTCGTATTTTTCATGGCAGTCAGTGAAGGGGCCCTTCTAGATTTCTGTTCAACAAATATCCCGTATGACCTTTCGCTTACTTTACCTTTGTGAAAATTTTGATGGAAACATAAAATAGCAACTTTCTTGTAGTAAATCGAATAATAAAACGGCAAGTACTGATATAGTTCAGTACTTTTTTTGAACAAGTTTCTTTTTGCACACCATACTTGTGGAAGAAGTGAAGAAAGCTCCAATTCTCAGAAAAAAAAAGCTAAAAAAGGCTAAGCAGCACATTAGTTGTGCACGGACCCAATAAATATTCAAATGATAGATAGATTATGTAGACAGAATGCAGAATGATGCACACCGTGTACACATGGCTGCGGTGGTACTATTTACGAACGATGCAATAAACAGATATTCTAGCAGCCTCTTCCGAGCGGTCCTCCCCAACGCTGCCGTATTAGGGGCTTCCTCAGCTCAGGGAATGAGGCCTATTTGTATTACTGCTTTTGGCTAATGGGTGTAGCTTGCCATGCTCTTATTCTCAGATGCTGAGTTGATTCTGGGTGCTAGCCAGGCTATCCCGGAGTGTTCGAGGGGCTTTGTTTTTGGACGCGGCTCCGAATTGCCTCCCAAATACTTCCGAGTCACTTTAACGCAAGCTTTTGGCTGAGCCGATGGGCTGTATACCAACTACACATGCAGACTCCCCTCACACCTGAGCTTGGATGCGCTTGCGAGATACAGAAGGTACAGTGTGTTTCATAATTATAAGGTCGCCCTCAAATTATGCACTTTCAGAAAAAGCAATCATTAAGGATTTTTTCTAGCATCATGAACGGATTCCCCAGCACGAATAACCTAGGTTTCCGTTTTTAGCCGCAGCTGCATTTTACTGAACTTTTTTAGAACTGTTTATCGGTTTTTGCACCGTTTCATAATTATAAGGTCACCCTGAGAAAGTGAACAATTATTAACGAAAGAGAGGAAATTTCGTGTTTGAAGATACTTGTAAAGGTAAGCATGTGTAGCAAATGCATCTCTAAACCTGGCTGTCGACATAGCTCGTGGTCATCTGCTTTCCTCTGATGAGAAGGCTCATCATGAAGGTGGGCGCAGTACTCGAGCCATCTCCAGGCAAATAGGGAGATCCCCTTGGTCCATTCAAAGTTTTATGGAGAGCCCTGATGTTCCTAGATATAACATTGACTGTGGACACCCATGATAGATTACTGCCCGTGATGAGCGGAAGTTTCTGAGGACTGTTTCCAACAACACGTCCTCCTTGAACTAGATCCGATCGGGATTAATCCTCTCTGTGTCGAAAACTACAGTCTGGAGAGCAG